TTGGAACCTTCGGAAAACCTCTGAGCAAGTTATTAAGTTATATCAATGTTCTAACCATACTCTGCTTCAGAGTAAAATAATTATACTAAAACAAGAAGGAGGAGGATAAGAAGAAGAAGAAGAAGCTGAAGAAGAGGAAGGTTCTTCTTTCCAGGAAGTATCGAAAAAATCTTCTGTAAATCAATGTAATATATTATATATTTTTATGTTTATATGTGAAAAGGGTGGATCGTTAGCGCTTCGAGTGCGACGTGAAATCAGTGGCTCCCGAATGGACAAATATACATATATATTTCCCTTCAAAAAAACCTTAAAAGAGAACGAGAATTCATCATGTTTCTACCCCGCCCCCATCTATTTCGCCCTCTCTCTTTCTCACTCTCTCATGTTCAGGAAATAAGAAAAATGTAAAATGCATTGGAAAATACAGTAATCATGACTCATGAGTATCGCTAAAAAGATTTTTCTTTTCTTTTCTTGAAGGTCAATTTTAATACATGACCGGCATGCATGATTTTTGTTTGGTTGCAATCATTTATTTCCCCCGTCTGTGGCGTTGATGGCGTACTGCTGATAACTTTTTCAGCTGACTTCGACCCATAGGCCCGAATTCACAAAGGAGGTTTGTCGAACGTCATAATGACGCGTTTTACGCGTTTTTTACAAACCTGGTTTGTAAAGAACAAAAGGAGGTTTGGCGAAACAAAAGGAGGTTTGAGCTCAAACCATGGTCTGAGCTCAAACCTTGCTTTGTGAATTAGGGCCTTAGAGTACCGAAGTGTGATGTCAAACTGGCCAGGTTGTCAAGGTGGCTGGTTCAAATCAATTTTGTGTGGTGATCACACTAGTGCCAAACACTGAATTTGCCTTGCTCTAGTCCGTTGCTAGAATAATTTCGCGGTGAACCTCATGCACAGGCTCTGTTGTTTGGAACAAGTAACCTGGACGACGAGCGAATGTGACGTTAACAATTCCGCCCTCTTTATCATTTGAAGCTAGATATTCTGAAAGATTATCTATGTATCAAATCTATCAAAACCGGTGTTTCATCACTGGAATTTAATCTATTCTGTTGATATACTCTTCTCCATGTCAAAACCCAATTAAGAACACTGTTATCGTGTTATAGAACAGTAACATCCATTGTATAATATATTTTGAAAAATATAATTGTCATCAAATTCCGTCTCATAGGTGTCAATTATTATAATAATTAGCTACTTTGCGAGTATTGTTTGCGATTTATTGATGAGGAAGCTAAAGACAACATTGACCTGGAATTAAATGACGACTCTAATGGCAGTCATTAATTTTATTGCGTTGTCCCCAGCTTTCATGAACCTTACAGGTGTGATGTAGCTACGGGGAATATGTTTTTTTTTTTTTTCACATTTTTCAAAATATTCAATATTTGTGGTGGTACACAAGTATTATAAATCGTTATATTTCAGCCGTCTCTAAACCTATTTTGATCAAACAAAGATGATTTTGTCGTTTAAATAATATGTTTTTTCAAATTTGACACTCAGTTTTTCATTATCTCACAAGAAATTATTTTGTGTAGCCCCCTCTGCAACAAAACTCAACTATCCCTTTATGCTGATTCACTAGAATACTTCATTTTCAATTATATATAACTTTCCTCCTTTAATTCTAGCTTTTACAATAACATTAAGTGTGCATTACTCACTACAAATCATGGCAGTCATTAATTTTCTTGCGTTGTCCCCAGCTTTCATGAACCTTACAGGTGTGATGTAGCTACGGGGAAGGGGCGTGTGCGTGTGTAATTGGGTTTTTACAGACGTGTATCAATTAGATATGATTATTTGCGTCTGGGGACCGACCTTTAACGTCACCATCCGAAAGACACGCATCTTCAAGCTAATTGAAGAAAAAAAGAATTACAAAACAGAAACGTGAACAACAAAAAAAAGAATGGAGATCGGAACGACAACGTAATGACAAGGTTACACGACCAATAAGAAGGCCTACCGGCTAACTGATATTTGCTTCTACGATAATTATTGCTCTTCTGTTAGAACCAACACGAATTACTAATTTCAGTCCTGGGTCAGTCGCTACACCTAGTCCTTACCCTAAGCCTATCCTAAAACCCGAACTATAACCCCGAAGGCTCGAATAGATATAAAGTAATAATGTTTTCCATCGTGGAAATGAATGGCAATTAACTACGCGCAACGAAAATCCTATTTGTATTCACTGAGCTCGGTTTTATGTAAGGGAGAGCAAGAGAGAGAGAGAGAGAGAGAGAGAGAGAGAGAGAGAGAGAGAGAGCGAGAGCGAGGAGAAGAGACTAGTCGATGACTTTACTTATAATTTTATCTGCATATAAAACAAGTGTCATACCTGTGACGAAAGTGCACCCTCTATGTCTAGAGCCAAGGTACGCCACTGTCGGCCCGTTTACTGTACTGTATTATAATGATTAAATTGTATAATTCCATCCCATCTAACGTGTCTAAGGGGAAGTGAAATTATTATTAGACGAATGGAACGAGACCATTTATATATTCCCAAAGGCACACCCCAGTATATACATCTGAAAGAATCTTCAGTATTGAAGGAGGCGGATTATCCACAAAAAGAAGAAGAAGAAGGCGGAACTTTATTTATATGATTAGTCGAGTGTTTTTTGGTCACGTGCTGGTTCCAGAGGACGACATTATGAAAACAAAAGCAACAAATCAAACGATAAAGTACATTGTACCTTCTAATAATGTTGTGCATACGGAAGGGGGACCTTCTGCAAATGCCGCCTCCAATCGAGAGAAAGGGAGAGAAAGAGAGACAGAGAAATAGAGAGAAAGTGAATTGAAGAGGAGACAGAGGAAGAGAGAAAGAGAGAAATATAGAAATAGTGAGTGGAAGAGGAGAGAGCGATGGAGAGATATAGAGATGTATTAACTAATTAACAAACAATAGTATCGCTGCGCCCTGTAAGCAATAATGATTTTAGGGGTAGGTTTATATTAGGGATAGTCCAGGGTCGAAGTTAGGATTTCGATTACTGTAGGATATTGACAAAAAGCTGTCATCGCTGGAGCATTGTGTTGTACAACCACTGATTCGATGATGTCCTTGTCATCAATGTGTATAGCGCCCACTTTAAACAGAATCATGATATGCTTTGAAAGATGAAGTACTTCAAAAAACACTACAATTTTGTGCCAAATTGTACGACACAGTTGCTCCAGCGAAAAATCCCCTGCGTTCAATTTCATTTGATAACCGTATACTTAACAACCGTTATCACCCCCATAGCCCTAACCCTAGCCCTAACCCTAGCCCTAAACCCTAAACCTCCAACTTCATTCCTCTCACTTTTTTTTTAATCTCTCTCTCTCTCTCCCCCTCTTCTTCTATCCCTTTCTTTCTGTCTGACTGTCTGTGTGTCTCTCCCTCTCTCTCTGTGTCTCTCTCTGTGTCTCTCTCTGTCTCTCTCTCTCTCGCTATCTCTCTCTCATAATTTTATTCGTTTTTCCCCACCATAAATGATCCCCCTTTCTCTGTACTACTCCCATTGCTTTATTATTATTCTTCATCATCGATGTATCCTGTAAAATCTCGATCTGTTTTTTCTCTTCATCGAGTCTCTCTCACTCCCTTTCTCACATTCAATTTAATTAAATTTGTTTTATGTGGGGGCCCTAATTATAACAAATTTGTTTTTTGTGGTTACGACCGTATATTTTCTTTGTCTTCTGCATGTTTTTTTGTATTCTGTTTTCTATTTTATGTTTTGCCTTTACATGTATATTGTTGAATAAATTAAATTTAATTCAATTCAGTTGTTCTTGCTCTCCCTCTTTCTTTCTCTCTCTCTCTCTCTCTCTCTCTTTTTCTCTCCCTATCTACATTGTATATATCTATCTCTATCTCACACGCACATACACACACACTCATACACACGCGCGCGCGCACACTCATACTTGCACCCACACGCCCACATTCTCCCTCTCTCTGTCTCTATCTCTCTCTCTCTCTCTCTCTCTCACGCACACACTCACACACACACACACACACACGACGTGCGCACGCACGCACATACTTGCACCCACATGCCCATAATCTCCCTCTTTCTCTCCCACCCACAAACACACGCACCCACACACGCAAACTCGTGCGCACGATCATACTTGCACCCACAGCCCCATAATCTCCCTCTCTCTATCTTTCTCTTACTCTCTCCCATTGTCTCATTCCCCCTCTCTTCTCACCTGTCCCTTTTTCCTTTACCGTCTCATTCTTTCTTTTTTCTTTTTTCTCTAGACATTTATTTATTCGTGCTCTACAAGATTTTTTTTTTTTTTTTTTTTTTTTTGCCACCGTGGATTCATTAAGACGGTTTCCTACGTCACGCGTTAACAAGGCTCTCTCATTCACATACCCTTATCACAGTGGACATGGTTGGTATCTGAAATAATAACTGTTAGACAAAAATACGAGGGTAGGTAAATGTAAAGATTATTTATTTAATTTTAAAGGGATAGTTGAGTTCTGTTTTCAGACCGCAAATGCCTTCAAAGTGCATGGTTATTGCTCTTATTCTTATCTATGACATTTATAGTGCCCTTTTAGAACCTAAACTTGCTATGAAGGTAATTTTAGACCCCAAAATGTGTGAAATTTAGCCAATACGATCATACCAATTCAGCTCCACCTTCAACAAGACACGGTGACTGTTAATTCATTATTTAATTAAAAATAACAACACACGAGCCAGCTAATTGTAAGTAATATAAGCAACACGAAAATGCCAACAAAAAAGCCAACATCGGCAATGGCTGAAATACGACGTAAAAGGCGTTATTTCGTTTTTTTTAACGGTTTTTTTTTCTTCACATTTTTCAAAATATCCAATATTTGTGGTGGTACACAAGTATTATAAATCGTTATATTTCAGCCGTCTCTGAACCGATTTTGATCAAACAAAGACGATTTTGTCGTTTAAATAATATGTTCTTTCAAATTTGACACTCAGTTTTTCATTATCTCACAAGAAATTATTTTGTGTAGCCCCCTCTGCAACAAAACTCAACTATCCCTTTATGCTGATTCACTAGAATACTTCATTTTCAATTATATATAACTTTCCTCCTTTAATTCTAGCTTTTACAATAACATTAAGTGTGCATTACTCACTACAAATCATAGGTATTTAAAGAACAAAATTTGCGACCACATAATATTTGATACATATTAAAACAAAATGCTCGTTTGATTGAAATGCATTAAATTATCAACATTTATATGCCCATAATGACAAGTCATAGGTCTCAATGTGAATTGATTACATTTGCAACGAGAAATATTGAATAAAGCAATCAGTGGTGGATTAAGGATTTTCATAAGAGAGAGAGAGAGAGAGAGAGAGGGAGAGGGAAAGAGAGAGAGAGAGAGATAGAGGGAGAGAGAGAGACAGGGTGGGGGAGAGAGGCGAAATAAACTGGGACTGGGAAAGGTAATCCAACTTATTGTAGGCCGATGAGTTCGGGAAAGGGCGGGAGGCGGGGAATAACGACAATAGCAATTTTCTTGCAATCCAAGGCAACCCACTGCAACTAAATTTTAAAAGGGAAATTTGTTTTCATTTTATTTTAATTTTGGCAGTAACGGGATGGACTGGGGGAATACGCCAGCTTCGTTCCATTCGGGGCACACAATCTTCCAGCAGAGCTTGAAAAGTAATTTTCTAAATTATTATCTGTTATCATATAATAATGGACGAAATGGGGACAATACCAACAATTCACACACTAAATAAACAGTGTGTTTGTCCTTTATAATCTTAATCTTTAGTTTACAATATCAGCCGTATACTATTATGACAATGTAAATAATGCACCTGTCCTCTGGTCACACAAGCACCGGTTGACATTTAAAATTTATTTACAAATTACCAACAAAATGCATGTCGTGCAAAGCAAAGTGAATAACACATATAATTTGACACTAAATAAGGTGTAATCTTTTGTTTCACCATTATTTAAACAAAATCCACACGGCGTAATAAATTTACAAAGAAAATATGCAAACTACAAATTTAGAAAAGGTAACCAATTTATTTTTGGCTGTTCCATTTCTAAGGACTTTTTTTTTAAAATCGATTTTCACGTGAGGGTGTTATAAAAACATTTCCAGCAACAACGACAATAAAGTCCAAAGTTGTTTTATGAATGTGTGGTAATCTGACACATCCCCCAGCGACATATTGCTCCTTATTTTCTTTTTCAAAAAATTCGAAGATGTTAGGTTTAGGGTGGCGATCGGGTCAAGGGCTGAGCTAAGGAATTTATAAGTGCTGGATCTCGAGCGTCGAGCAATTTTACACGTCATCAGAGCAAGTGACAAAACGTCCCTCTTTAAGGAAAGATTTTATGTTCAATTTGGCTGCTATTAATGTAAAAGCCTATATAGAGAAGAAAAAAAAACATTCAATGGAACTATCAAAAAAAAAGGATGAAAATGTAATGTAGAATTTTGACTGTGGAAAAAATCATCGTCGGAACATGTCTTGAAATAAGAAGTAGCCTCTTCATCATAACTTCCATGAACCATAGCTCGAGCGCTCGCGAGTGCTACATTTAGGTCTCCGAAATCGATGGCGTTGACGAGACTCGAGCAACGACCTTCATCGAATCGGTCAGGCTGAAAATCTTCGTACCAGACGAAGGCGACGACGATGAAGAAGATGAGCTGTCTTCGACACGACCGACTGCCTTCTTAAGACGTCGGACCAGCGCATCCATGCACAACATCTTGACGAAGACGGCGCGGAACTCGTCCAGTCTCCACCAGTAGATAACGGGATCAATGACGAAGTTGAGGGCGACCAGGATGTTGCTGACGGCGTCGATGTTGATGTAGTAAATGGAGTAGATCTGGAGGATGTCGTGGAAACAGTGCACGATCCAGCAGACGCTGCTGGTCAAAGTGATGACGGCGAAAGTCAAGAGGACCTGCAAATGATAAGAAACAGTGGAAGAAAATTGGGAAAATGTTTAACTTAGGCGGGTATAATCCAACCTTAATGAGGAAAAGGGAATTGAGAGTAGAGAGATTGAAAACGTAATGCAACCAATTACTTGATAGCCACGATAGCTTGAGTATATTCTGTACACAAATTACATTATTATTATGACAATAAAATGACAAGATTTGATCTGATTTGACGTTCATTTATTTACAATATACGATTTTTAAAATGTATGGTGACATAAAATTAACAAAAATTAAGAAAGGGATGGTCATGAGCACATCTTAAGCTTGAGCTGAGCGGAAAGAACAAATTACTCTTACAAAATATAACTGAAAACATCATCTAGCCAACTGCTGCTTTGTATGCCAAGGGGGCCTAAAATACCACCCACCTTACGGTTCTCCTTCACCCGCCCCTTGATCTGTTCAGCTCCGCCCACACTCTGCTTGCCCGACGCGTTGGCGATATCCCTGTAGGTCATACAGTAGCAGAAGGCAGTGATGGCCAGACTGGACAGGATAATGATCGGCATCATGGTGAACAGAACAGGCCGGTAGACGGTGGAGCAGTAGAAGAGGAGCATTAAGGGAAACGTCATGACCACCCACATCAAGACGCTGCCGACGATGCAGCGGGGTGTGGTGACCAGGTTACGACTTCCGAACGGGTCGAAGGCGATGCCGATGAAGCGGTAGCAAGCGACGGCGAGGACGCTCAGGACAGAGACGAGGATGGCGCTGTGAAAGATGACCTGGGTGCAGTCAATCAGAACTCCACTGATCTGTTTGGAAAAAAAGAAGAAGAATAAGGTAACTAAATGAATAGAAACGAATTATTGTATTCGGTGGCCACACCCGCCCCCCCCCCCCCACTCAGGGGTCGGAATGACCGCATGCGTGTTGCCAAAATGTCCGGTACTTTTCGTGCGACAAAGTCCGGCCCGAGAATTGTAAAAAAAAAAGGGGTGTATTTGACTTTTCACCCGGAGATTTCTTTAAAAAGGGGGTGTTTTTTCGTTTTTTCTCTCATCTCTTTGGACTCCTGAGAAAATATTCCGAATTTAGGGGGGATTGAGCATTTTTCCTGATTTAGGGGGGTCTCCAAGGCAGGGAAAGCCCGCGAAAGGGGGGTTCGGAAATGTTGGCAGTCCTCAGATAGGGGGTGCTTTCAAAAAAAGGGAACGAGCATATGCGTACCCTAAATAACACTGAGTGGGGGGGGGGGGGGGGGGGGGTGGCCACAACGCATATCCAACAAAGCGATCTACTATCGCTGCAAAATAATGTTAATCACTCCAGATGTGCATAACCGAAACACGATGGCGACTATTTGGCCTTATCCTGCGATTAGCGAGAAAGCTCTTAGATGAGTACTTCAGGAGGGAATCGCGCATGGGAAGCTGGCGCGCAGTACATAATTTATATCGAATCCAAGTGTATCAAAATCACACGTAATACATAGCATGATGGGGAATTTACACACATAAAAAAGAAAAGAAAAAGAAAGAAAGAATACATAACAAGTGATACTTTATTAACATTAGAATAAAAAAGAACACTAACGCAATTCAAAATGAAATATTCTAGTGACGGCCCCTCTATTATTAAGCGTGAAACTTTAAGTGCCTTAGAACCAAAGATTGTTGAAACGGGTCAAGAACTTGGCACAATGTAATTAAATACTGTAATTCAATTACACGAATACGACAGTGCAGACGTATCCTAATATTAACCCTACTGCCGCTTGATATTGAAATGGTCACTGTCAAATAAAGGAAATGGTCAAACACACGGTCTCTTCCCAGGCAAGCATTTGATTACGACTTACAAGAGCACTGTACAAAAAAAAATAGGTTATCACCATGCGGTCACCATGGTCTGCAAAATAATTTTTTGAAGATCACTGCGGTGAAAATAGATAGTTGATATTAACTGGAACGGATAGAGCGACGAAGTTAATTTTCCCTATCTAATAATTTGAGTGGCTGCATCTTTATTAATATGTAAAGGTTCCCTTAATATTGATAACAAAGGTACCTTTTGTTTACTATATAATTATATATTGCGAAACGTCGCCGAATTTTTCTTGTATTGATAACTTTAGGACCGAGTATTTTCACAATTCTATAATTAGGTAACCGTTGGCGTAGCGGGAAAGTAGAAGGGGAGGCGGTGCCATCGGCGTTTTGGAAGTAAATGGAAGGAAGAAAAGGAGGAAATAATATTAGTATAATAAAATAATATAATATATATATATATAATAATATAAAATATAATATTTGTAGGAATAATGTACAAGAAGAAGAATGATAATAACCATAACAACATATTAGCAAGGTATTACCGACAGTGAATTTTCCTTTAAATGTAAACATTTCAAAATACCATTTTATACACCTCTGAATACTAAGAGCCCAGTCTGAGCATGATCAGATAAAGGTCATTGCAGAACAAATTGTGAAATACACATAAACAAAGTATAATCATTATTCATTTATGCACAAGCAGTCCACTCCATGATACACAGGTGGAAGTATGCTTTAAAAAGGGGAAACAAAGGCGTTTTATGAAGCACCCCCATCGCTGTTGGAGTGATTATTTTAGAATGTCCAAAGTGGGACCTCTTCATGTTCTGAAGATCTGTGGATATTCGGGGTCATTTGAGACATGTGCTAACCGTGAACTGATCAATTGCTATCGTATGGCATATTAGTGCAGGTTATGATAATAGCTACATTTATAATGCGCACGTATCCATCCCAGGGGATACTCACATGTAGTAGTATTACTCTGGTCTCAACCAATTTGCCCTTAGGCGCTAAAAGCATGCAATGAATACTATCCTACCAAATACCAATTTCCTGATCCTGGGTGGAGAGTGGCAAATTTAAATTAATGTTTTGCCAGAGGACATTTATGTCCCGAGAGTTATTTCATTTGAACCCCTTTGTATTTGCTTTATAGACTGGTGACGTGACGTATATGCACTAGATTACGACACCTGCTCCAACGGTTGCATTCATAAATATTTTGCATTGTGTCCTCCGCCCTCTCCCCCTTTCTACCTTTCTCACTCCCCCACTCTCTCTTTTTCTCTCTGTCTCTCCCTTCCCTCTCTCTTTTCACTCGCTCGCTCGCTCGCTCACAGCCTTACTTGACGCCATAATTTCAGTCCCCTTCTCCTCCCCTCTCTCTCTTCCTCCCCTCCAGCAACCCCTCGAACCCTCCTCTCCCCCTACCTTCCTGGCTCTCTCCCCTCCCCATTTCCTCCAATATAAACAATTACCAATTACCCTCCTGCAGGTCGTATAGGTTAAATGATTTTATATAATGCATACTTGCCTGATTAGCGTTGCTATTGAATCATTCCTTTAACTGTTTCCTTTTAATGTGATATTCCTCCCTCTCAAAATAATATTTTGCCCTCTGTTCTATTCAAGGGCATTAATGTGGAAAGATATTGTATACAATGCATATACGCTTGATTGATACTTGCGTAAGGCCCGGTCACACAGCCTTTCGCGTCTGTATCGCGGGTAAAATTTCGCGATTTTTTTTTGCCCGCGGTTGCCCGTGGTGGAAAAATGTGCAAAATTGGCTTACCCGCGGTTTACCCGTGGTATGCCCGCGGAACAGACGCCGGCGACTGTTCCGCGTCCTTATCGCGGGTGAAGCGCGGCGGTACCGCGGCCTACCACGCTTACACGCGGTACACACGCTAATGCACGTGATAACAACGCGGTACAGACGCGGAACAAACGTGCTATGACCGTGCTCCACCCGCGATTACCCGCTAAAATTTCGCGTCCAATTCCGCGTGTAACCACGTCTTAACCGCGGCCGTAGCACGTCCTAGCACGTTCGTTCCGCGTCTGTACCGCGTCTTTACCGCGTGTGTACCACGTGTACCGCCCGCGATTACCCGCGGTCTAAATTTTTGGGCAGCCCAAAACTTTTTCGCGCGGCCAACCGCGTGTGAATTTCTTACCGCGTGTAACGACGGGTAAAGTACGGCTGTATCGCGTCTTTTAAGGCCCGGTCACACAGCCCTCCACGGGCGTATCGCGGCCGAATCACGGCCAAAAATTTCTGCCCGTGAAGCAGACGCTGTTGGACGCTTTGAGGTCGCGATAAAGACGCGATACAGCCGTACTTTACCCGTCGTTACACGCGGTAAGAAATTCACACGCGGTTGGCCGCGCGAAAAAGTTTTGGGCTGCCCAAAAATTTAGACCGCGGGTAATCGCGGGCAGTACACGTGGTACACGTGGTACACACGAGGTAAAGACGCGGTACAGACGCGGAACGAACGTGCTAGGACGTGCTACGGCCGCGGTTAAGACGTGGTTACACGCGGAATTGGACGCGAAATTTTAGTGGTTAATCGCGGGTGGAGCACGGTCATAGCACGTTTGTTCCGCGTCTGTACCGCGTTGTTATCACGTGCATTAGCGTGTGTACCGCGTGTAAGCGTGGTAGGCCGCGGTACCGCCGCGCTTCACCCGCGAGAAGGACGCGGAACAGTCGCCGGCATCTGTTCCGCGGGCATACCACGGGTAAACCGCGGGTAAGCCAATTTTGCACATTTTCCACCACGGGCAACCGCGGGCAAAAAAAAATCGCGAAATTTTACCCGCGATACAGACGCGAAAGGCTGTGTGACCGGGCCTTTATCGCGACCTCAAAGCGTCCAACAGCGTCTGCTTCACGGGCAGAAATTTTTGGCCGTGATTCGGCCGCGATACGCCCGTGGGAGGGCTGTGTGACCGGGCCTTCAACTTCGACATAACAACTTCGACTTATCTGCCGTTAGAAGCCAACAGAAAAAAGAGGACAAACAGAAAAAAGGAAACCCTTGCAAGTTTCAAAAGTGCACAGGACTTTAGTGTTTTGTTTTCTCCAGCTATCTGTAAAGAATACTTTATGCTGTTCCTTTGAATTGGTTTTTGTGTATAACTATTATGAATATTTCAAATTGTGCGTATTATTGTATGAACTGTAAAATATTTACGGTATAATTATACTCATTTGTTTTCATGACACAGGGCCATTTTTTATACCAACACCTTGTTGAAATGAATAAATAATAAAATGTCATCACATTTTCTGGATATTTGTCATACAACGGAAACTATTCTACAATACGATGACGTAACGGTTTTTTCCCGGCTAACTAAAACATAGCATAATTATATTCATTAATTACACGACCGCGAGAATTTTCAAAAAGAATAATTTTGAGGCATTGTCAATAACCTGTGTATTACTTACTGAAATATGCGAACAGTAAAATGGCATATTACGTAATGCGAATATGATTTCTACATACAATACAAGGGTATAGTGAAATTGTGATTGAGTTGATTTTTCGAAAGTCTTAGCCGTCGTGTTTATAAACGAAATCTATCAATAAAAGATGCTAGTGAAATGCTGAACTGTTGTTAAATCCTTTCATACCCTGTACACGGTTTCTCTTCAAATTGGAATAAATTGTCTAAAAGTATTTAAACGTTGTTCCTTTTGTTGTGTCTTTGTGTGTGCGCGTGTGTACGTGCGCGCGTGTGTGTGTGTGTGTGTGTGTGTGCACATTCACTGCTTGCCGAATTGACCGTTGCAAGGCATACACATCAGTTTGATGCTTATTCAATTTGAACAATATTGGTCATGACTTTGGTTGAAATGATTCCTCCTTCTAATCGATCATTTGTTGACTTCCTACACAATTATGTTTCCGATTCCATATGTTTCGTTCCAGCGGTAGAACTTGTGAAAACCCTCGTTAGAGTGTTGGTCATGTAGGATTAAGTTATATCTTTTTTTTACAAGAAATCATCCTGAAATTGTTCAGCCCCCTCACACATGTATTGAACTTGTCTTTGAATGTTAGCATTGTTCCTCAAAAAATGAAATTAGCTAAAGTACTCGCAATTTGTAAAGAAAAGATGACGTGTTCATTACGAGGAAAATAGACCACTCTCTTTACTAGCATCCATTCCTAAAATCCTGGGATAGCTTTTTTTAAATTCCCGCACAATAAAATTTTACAGGAAAAGAACGTTATCAGTAATCCTCACGCAATTGTGTGTATTATTGTATTAACTGTTCAATATTCACGATATATATTTATTTGTTTTCATGACACAGGGCCATCACAATTTCAGGATATTTATCATATACCGGAAACGATTCTACAATACGATGACGTAACGGTTTCAAATTTCAGATTTATCCCGGCCAACTAAAACATAGCACATCTCACGCAATCTTAACTGTCCAAGATAGCACGTGCAACCGATCACCATTTACATAGTATAGAAAAATATACATAGAAGTAAGATTAGTTACAAAGAACAAATACTAAAGAAAAGACAAAATTTACTGTGTGGTGAAGAGATTTAAGTCTTAGTATTTCGTTACCATACCAGGCTCATACATCTAACCAATACCCTCATTTGATTTTATTTATTGGTTTCTGCATCTTTTTTCTTTTTTTCATTATATATTTTCATGAACATAATATGGTTTGATACAATATTTTAAGTGTATACAAATTTTTATACAAAAAATAAACGAAATTAAACAATAATATTGAATGCAGAATTAACATACATTAGATGCATAAAGCTGTACATTAAAATGAACTTTAAAGGAAAAATCCCTATGCAATATTAGACTGTTATCTATTATAGCATATTTGTGAGAAAATTATGCTATCATCTATGTTAAGGACAACGTTTACTTGTCTTCGTGGAGTATTATTTTCGTTTCCACATCAGGTAAGCTATTGAATGTTGTTTTCAATCATCATTCGTGTTAATTATTCTTTTGAATGTATAAGCATTGAACCTTTAATTTTTTATCGTTTTGATTGCAAATTATGCACAAGTGAATATTATGTTGCGATGCATGATTTATTTCGAAATAAATTCCATTTTCTAATTAAATTGAGCTGAACTATTGAATGTCATTTTCAATCATCACTCGTGTAAATTATTCTTTTTAAAGGTAATACAAAGTTTTGGTATGGGGTCATAAATTTTGTTTAAACGAAGATATTGGAAGCATATGCGATCCTACAATATTCAGTGATCGTTGTCGCGGTTGAAATGGAGTCTTAAGTGATGAAATTGTAAATAATTAACTCTTCGTGTTGTATAGCTCCCTCTCAAGGTCAAGATATCAATTGAACTATAAAACAATGTTTCTTTACTATAATCGCCCGGTTGGCTTTTCCGTTTGGAAATTATATATCACAACTACATATTCTGAGATTTTCATGGTCGCAGCCACCATTGTATGGCCGTAGGCGCTGTTCGAAATTTATCAAAATAAATTATTTACCGGGAGCACCAGTAAATTTTATATTCAATTTTTCTCGATGGCAGAAGTGTTTTAGGAGCTAATTTTTCTAGTGCTTATGAAACATCCACATGGGCATCCAAATATATCAAAATTGTAAAAAAAATCATTATCTAGCCAATTTTCAATATTTACCAAAACTTTGTATTACCTTTAATGTATAAGTATGTTACTTTCATTCTTTTATCGTTTTGATTGCAATTTATGTGAACATTATGTTACGATGCATGATTTATTTAAAAATAAATACAGTTTTTTAAATCAAATTGAATTAGAACACGAACAGTAAGTTAACACATTCTTCTCGCCTGCTCTCCAAATCCCGTGTTATGTTGTCTAAAAGCTTGTTGTTTATTGATGTTGTGAACTTGTGAATATTTCGAACCCAAATGTACTTAAAATCACCTGACATGACAATTACAAATCTTCACGTAACCGTAACCCATGGCAACCGAGCAGACAGGTGTTTTATGTCAGAAAGCGAACGAAATGACAAGGTAGCTTTTGACATTCCCTAGAGGGGGCGGGGTACCCTTGCAAACTATTTCCCCGGCTGCAAACTATTGTTTCTATCATTCTTAAGTCACTTTCACTGAAATTACCTAGCAATTGGTGGGGTAATGATGATTGCAGGGCCCGCGGGAAGATCAGTATTTATGATAATGGGCTACTCTGGATGAAATAAGACCTAATTATTAATTAATTATTGGTATTACAGGGTAATGCAGTTCACTGCACTTAAAGTTGAGCTGATATAGGTTTTCATCTAGCTCTTCTTTTATCTTGTTTTAATTGTGTTATTACTTGGTATGATAACAAGAAAAGTGATCATCATCTTCCGATTGTTGATTAACGACATATTTTTGGAAGTTTCCATGTGCATTGTGTAAAGTTTGTCCCTTAAACCTAACTTATACTGCTTTCAAACTGGCTTATATCGGAGTCTCACCGATGAAAATACCGATTAAATTTTCGTTATGTAAACAAATATGAAACCGCCGTTTTCCCTGCTGTCGCTTTCATACTGCCGGTGAAATTCACTCGCTGTGGCGAGCCCTTGCCGGAAGTGAAGAATTATTGCGTAATTATTAAGCAAGCGCTTCATCTAGCTAGCATGCAGCATGTTCAACACAAAGTCAGCAAACACAGCTGGTTACGATAAAGCGCGCGTACACTGCGACCTTTGACCATTTTCATCGGACTTTTAATCGGTGTTTTCTCCCGAATACATTCACAGTGACATTCATCGGTGTCACACCGATAGAATGATAATTTAATTGCCTATCTCTCTTCTCTTCATCGGCTATTCTATCGGCTTTTTCTTCTCTGTAGTATTCATACTGGCAGTTTCATCGGATGCGTCCGGATGCATCTGATGAAAATCAGGCCAGTTTGAAAGGGGTATAGGTGGAAAGAAAAAAACAACGAAACAAGAAATGGCTGTACAAATCTCACGAAAAGCGGTTCTCGTGGTCAGAGACATATTTTAAGAGATCAGAAAGCGTTCAGTCATGGTTCGGGTGGGGAATTATAATCATGAATTGTCTTTATTACCGATTTATATATCATAAGTAATATAATTATACTTGAAATGAATGAATAACTAAATAAATAGATAAATGAATAAATCTAAGTAAATACAATGGCTTACCTCCAGAGTTGACTGTTTGCAACATTCATTTAATATTCAGTATCTATTTCCATCTTGCTTATTCGTGTTATTAATTTAAAAAAATGCAGTTTAGAGTCGATTTTGTGGTAGGCATAATTTCTCGAATGGTGCCTAATACCGTTATATGTAAGCACATTCAATACATAATGTGACATGTGATGGATATAGACAGACGACACAGCTACGTTACGTTTCTCTTATTGCGAAGCTATACTTACCAGTGTTGCACGCAATATCTCACATGTGGCTGCCACAAAGTCTGCTAAGGCGAGGTTAAACGTGAAGATGTTGCGTTGGTGCCGCAACTTGGAGTTGTAGATGATGATAAACAACGTGAAGGCGTTGACAGATACACCAACAACAAGGGCAATGAGACGTATGTAAACGTAACACAAATATGCCGACATTTTAAAATATTTGTTGAGCTTGATCGAAAAGCAGGAATAGAGGAGTCTTAAGAGCGCGAGGATTTTCTGAGCCAGAGATGCAACTTAATATAATTGATGTGCCTTGCTCGTAAGTACAGCCAAGTCGCTCTTCTGGAGAAAAAAATGAACGTGAGCGTGAAGTAACAATTTTGATCAAAGTTTCTGAGTGGGCGTGCTACGCTTTTGAAGAAATAAATCGGACGTATCGGAATCTTTTCCAACGGCACGTGATATTCCGATTTATAGATATAACATAGGGAAAGAAGGGCAAGGTGAAATTACAAACTGGCTATTTAAGGAATTCTCTTCCCCCCCATTCTCTCTCTCTCTCTCTCTCTCTCTCTCTCTCTCTCTCTCTCTCTCTCCGTCCACCCCTCTCTCTTCCTCTTTTCCTTACCCCTCGCCATAAATCACCAGCATGATTAGCATGTGTACTTATTTTATTCCTTCGATTGAGGGACATAGGCTTCATCACGATGATTCAAGGAGAGAATCTTGAAGGTGGAATCATGTTCAGTAAAAAAACTGCAAATATGAAATAATCATTCCCCATTGTTACAGCGAGATTATTGAGGACACGATCGCAATGACTACTAAAAACATTAACTGAAGGGCCTTTTGGATACTCGGTTGTATTCCCTACAGAAATGACGCTCTGATTATATTGAAACTTGTGAATGTACTGTTCGCAAGTTTTAATAGGTGGCACACGATGTTATTGTCAATGCTCTGTAGGTTTATATTTTTGAACGTTTTTTTCAATCTTGTTTGTAAAACTTGTCAAACTTGTTGGCATTATTCCTAAGGATACCTACAGATTCTTGTAATGAAACAATAAAGATGAATTCTCGAAAAATCCTTTTCGAGCTACACGTTCCTCCGTTTCTAACAGCACACGTGACCCTTTCTCACTATTTTGCTTTTTACTCCCCCCTACTCTCTTCCCATCTCACTCACTCTTTCCCCCTCTCTCTCCATGCCTCTCTCTCTCTCTCTCTCTCTGTGGCTCATCTCTCTCTCACATACTCCTTCTCTCACTCCCCCTCTCACTCATTTTACTCTCTCTAGCTCTTTCTCCCTCTCTCAGTCATTTTTTAATCTCTCTCTCTCTCTCTCTCTCTCTCTCATTCTCGCCCGAATTCTCTCTCTCTCTCTCTCTCTCTCTCTCTCTCTCTCATTCTCTCCCGAACTCTATCTCTCTATATATCTCTATCTCATCCTCTCCCTAAATCTCTCTCTCTCCCCCTCTTTCTCTCTCTCTCTCTCTCGTCTCCCTATCCTTGCTGCCCTCTCTTTAAACAATTTCCACCACCGACTAAAAACTTCTTAAACATCAACCTTTAGGGTGCAGCGCTGACTTCAATGACAAATACCATCAACCCAAGACAAAGAAACTGCCACATTTTTCTACCGTCAATTTTATCATCAATTTGCTTCTTTTGAACAAGTATTTCTGTTATATAAATCAATAACACATCAAGAGATGTAAGTAACGTTTCTTCAAAAATATATTTTAATTATTTATATTGTTTGGCAGAAAAGATCAAAAATTGATATCCACGACCTTGTGTACTTGCAATTCCCGTTCCAATTCTTTCCAGGGTGATCAAAGGTTGTTTTTCTAAATGTAGACTGCTATCAATGCCTGAGGTCACGGCGTACCGTTTGTGCCCCAATAAAATTAAAAAACAATGATAGAATCTGCAGTATCTTTTTAATTTGCAAACCTAAGAACAGGTCACGAAGTCTCAAAAAACCACTGAAGGCTGTCCATTTATTTAGTTATCTTCTTCATTTTAAATTTTGAAATGAACAGAACATTCTATGTATATTGCCTACGGCATAATTTACCTGTACAGTAAGTTATTGCTTTGTACATGTTTACTTAATTTTTTATGGAAAAGTAGTATTAAATTTGATAAACAAACTGATCTGAAGTGAATATATGATATATTAGCGATTGCATTTCAAGTGGAATCTTTCAGCTGTTCATTCGAACAGCGACACGTTCAAAATTCAAATAGCAGTAGAAAAAAATAATTATGGGATCAAAACAGTGGTGGTAGAGGTAGGATGGTAGTAAGTGTAGAATGGTAGTAGATGTAGGGTGGCGGTAGAGGTAGGGTGGTAGAAGTAGGACGGTAGTAAGTGTAGAATGGTAGTAGATGTAGGGTGGCGGTAGAGGTAGGGTGGTAGAAGTAGGACGGTAGTAAGTGTAGAATGGTAGTAGATGTAGGGTGGCGGTAGAGGTAGGTTGATAGTATAAGTAGGACGGTAGTAAGTGTAGAATGGTAGTAGATGTAGGGTGGCGGTAGAGGTAGGGTGGTAGAAGTAGGACGGTAGTAAGTGTAGAATGGTAGTAGATGTAGGGTGGCGGTAGAGGTAGGGTGGTAGAAGTAGGACGGTAGTAAGTGTAGAATGGTAGTAGATGTAGGGTGGCGGTAGAGGTAGGTTGGTAGTATAAGTAGGACGGTAGTAAGTGTAGAATGGTAGTAGATGTAGGGTGGCGGTAGAGGTAGGTTGGTAGTATAAGTAGGACGGTAGTAAGTGTAGAATGGTAGTAGATGTAGGGTGGCGGTAGAGGTAGGTTGATAGTATAAGTAGGATGGTAGTAAGTGTAGAATGGTAGTAGATGTAGGGTGGCGGTAGAGGTAGGTTGGTAGTATAAGTAGGACGGTAGTAAGTGTAGAATGGTAGTAGATGTAGGGCGGCGGTAGAGGTAGGTTGATAGTATAAGTAGGACGGTAGTAAGTGTAGAATGGTAGTAGATGTAGGGCGGCGGTAGAGGTAGGTTGGTAGTATAAGTAGGACGGTAGTAAGTGTAGAATGGTAGTAGATGTAGGGTGGCGGTAGAGGTAGGTTGGTAGTATAAGTAGGACGGTAGTAAGTGTAGAATGGTAGTAGATGTAGGGTGGCGGTAGAGGTAGGTTGGTAGTATAAGTAGGACGGTAGTAAGTGTAGAATGGTAGTAGATTTAGGGTGGCGGTAGAGGTAGGGTGGTAGAAGTAGGACGGTAGTAAGTGTAGAATGGTAGTAGATGTAGGGTAGCGGTAGAGGTAGGTTGGTAGTTCAGTTAGGGTGGGAGTATAGGCAGAATGGTAGTAAATATAATGGTTACACTACACAGCAATAGTAAAAAAAAAAAAAAAAAAAAAAAAAAAAAAAAAGATTAAAAAAAACTGGCCTCAGTTTTCATTTAAACTGTCATCAATAACAAGTGCCAAACTGTTGAAACAATTTTTTTTCACAGCCAATCATAATGCAAGGATTTCAGTAGCTTATATCTGATATTCTAACCTTGTCACTCATAGGACGTGTTATGAACCAGGGCCCCGATGTAAGCCTGCTGTTATTCACATTCATATTGTTGTATTCATGAAGTGCACCGGTGCCTATCAATTGTCATGTTTTTTTCCTTGATTGTTATACTTTTGCATTGTATGCATGCATGCATGTGAGTTGCTATTGAAATTGTATTTAAGCATGCCAATGCATGAATGCCAAAATGCGCAGTAGTTTGAAGTTGGACCAGACGCCATTTTCATTGCATCTGACGCACTTGTTCTTCTTCGGACAACGTTTTAATTTTCGAAAAAGTGTCGCGTGGTCAGCTTTCTCTGGGAATTTACATCACACAGGTCAGAAAAGCAGCTTATACGTGAATACTTGGTGAAACATATTGTGTGTTGCTTAGCTTTGATGGAATATGAATAATGTGGAATTTTAAACACGGAAGTAGAATAAAAATGTAAGAGGAGAAACGAATGTAGCCTATATTGCTAGACTATGTAGTATGGGGTGTATTTTATTGAACGTAAGTGTTGAAGGTAAACAGAAGAAATTGTGCATAAAGCTGAATGAAGCAGTGTATATATTGTTTTCTTGTATTAAGGGTTCAAACAGAAAGTATTATAAACCTCTCTTTAGTATGCCATTTTGAATAAATCTAGTCATCTGATCAGTCGAAATTGGAGTCGTGATTTTAGCCATGCCCGCCTACCGGTCAACATGAGGACATCTTTTAAAAAACTTGAGCCTATATAAACAGCGATGACTCTCATAGAAATCAATATATCTATAGAATATAGTCATATCTTGCCACAAAATGTTTTGATTTTTATCGTATAATACAATGGTTTTACTATATTTAATGTATTGTAATGTTGTATGGGGCAACACACACCCAATACGATTACAACGACTGCTTATAATTATTACAAAAGCGTATATTAAGAATATGTCTTATGTCTGATTTCAATGCCCATTCAATACCGTTATCTCAACAAAAAAGTTGTTAAAGGCACACTGTCCTACTTGTAGCTACTTGCTCCCTCTATATAGAAAACTTCCCAAATCGGTGCCTGTTGGTCCCCCATGATCCTCTTTTTCTTAGGTTAAATGAGAGCTGAGTTAATGAGAAAGCCACCTGTCACAGTGACCTCGATGGCTCACTAGGTGGTCTAATCCCTTCTTGCTGAAGTAGTAAAGCCTCCCTTTAAATATTTATTAATTGAATCAATATTGTATATCACTCATGCTTTATAATAATAAGACTTTAAAACAGCCGACTAATCTTGCCACTATGATGAAATGTAAAAAATCTGTTCATAACTATAATACTAGAAACCCTGATAAGCATTTTATTGAAAAATGTCCATCAACATGTTCTTTATTTACTTTTAGACACACTGGCCCAAAATATGGAATTTTCTCCCCAGAAACATCCGTAATACTACATTCTTTAACTCTTTTAAATCTAAAACTAAAAAAATACAACATCTGTTTTTAAATCAATAATATTATTTGCATGTTCCTACGTCTCCTGTGTTTTGGACACTATTTTGTTATTGTTAAATCTTTTATAGGCAATTGTTGGAACTTGTATGTCTCTTTTAATAAACAGGGACTGCCTCGACAGCACCTTATTGTTTTATTTGCAGTTTCCTCAATTCATTTCTATTGCTGATTAACTTTGTGTTATTCCGGTATTTTTGTAGACATGTTTCCAATTTGTGGGTGTTTTCTGTTTTGTGTATAATCTGTATCTTATGTGTTTTTCATGGATTTGAATTGAAATAAAACTTGAAACTTGAAACTTGAACTAAAATACTTCCATCCTCTGTCTCTCTCTTTCTCTGTCTCTTTCTCTCTCTCGATGATGACGATGACAACGATGATGACGATAAATGTCGATAAGGAGCGATTATTATAGCTATTAAAACCGTTTTTGTCTTCCCTTTCAATTTATTCTGTCTCCCACCACTATTTTTCTTTTTCTTCTCTCTCTCTCTCTCTCTTCCTCTCTCTCTCTCTCTCTCTCTCTTCTGTCTCTCACATACTTCTTCTTTCTCTTAATTCCCCCTCTCTTCTCTTTTCTCCCGTTCCTTTTTTTTTCTTTCTTTATGTGTCTGTTTATTCTCCTCTCTTGTCTTCATGTCACCCCTTCTCTGTGTGCATGACTGTCCATCTTCTTGTATTATGTAGGTCAATACTCTGATCAGCATGGCTTCTGAATTGAGCTCTGTAGAGGGCGTCTGTGAAGGAGACGACTGTACGGCGAATGCAGATCTGACTTTCTATGTGACGGAGAAGAAGAAGCTCTGCCATGACTGCGCCTCTAAAAAGGAATGCTTAGGAATAGCAAAAAAGGGTATGTCTTATCTGTACTGTGAAAAACACGATAAACATATCGATATGTACTGTAAAACACATTACGTGGGTTTATGTGTTTCATGCGCTGTGATAGATCACGATGAGAAGCCTTGCGTGCGACAGGATGTAGAGGACGCAATCTTGGAAATTAAAGCAAAGCTCAACATTCTGAAGGATAAGGCGATGGAGAAGTTGGAGTTATGTCGAGTCCATGGAAAGCACATTGGTCAGTGTAGACAAGCCGCAGACGAACATCTGCAAAGTATCAAAGATGAGGTTGATTTCCTAATCGAAAAGGAGATTGCCAGCGACAAAGTCAGGGAACAGGAGGCTGCGGCTAAAATTGACCAGGAGATTGATGGGAAAAACAAAAAGCTCCAAGAGGAGATTAAAAACATCCAGAATAAGATTCGAAAGAACAATGAGGAGAGGGAGAAGCGACATAAAGAAAACAACACAAATGCAGAGAAAAGACAAGAACCAATAAATAATAAACAATGCTCTCTCCATGCTGACATTCAGAACATCGCTCAAGGGATCAAGAGAAAGATTGGCGAGGTGGAGAAATCATGGCAAGATGACACAAAAGCTACAAAGAATGCCATCCAGACACTTGAAACAGTACTCGAAGACGATCAAAATATTGTCAAAGGCGGGCATCGTGTGAATACATCAGTTAGTGATAAACTAAAAAGGCCACTGAATGAGAATGAGGATGAGGTGAAAGAAATTAATCGTGTTGTATCAGGTGTGAGGTTTGTGAAGGGTGCTGGGAGGAAGATGATGTATGATGGGAGGATTGATGTGTATGAGTGGAAGCTCATCGATACAATCAATGTAAGAGATAAAACCAAATACCCGGTCATTGTAGGATGTATAGATGGATGCAATGTTATAATCACAGATAACCGAGAAGGTAGTGGACATACATACATGTTAGATTTGCACACTAAACATACTCGGAGAGTGATAAACGGTAGTGGTACATCATTGGTTCGGTCCTGTGCAGTGCTGAATGATGACATGGTAGTATGCGGTAAAGTGAACAGATGTAGTACAGGAGACAGTTTGAATGGATGCATCAGTGTGTATGACAGACAGTGGAAGCTCACCAATAACGTATCTATACCAAGAAACACGACGGATGATTTCACACGGGTGGATGTTACAGCTGGCAAGGATGGGATGATCATCGCTACTGAGGCGAGTCAGTCTAAGATATACGTCATCAACCCAGCTGATGGTAAAGTTATCAATACCATCACGTGTAAAGAGAATATAAAGATGTGTGATATGCTGTCATCAGGTCACATCATCGCTCGACCCTGGTCACCAGATCGCAGAGCGCTCATCATTGACAGAGAGGGTGCTCAAAGGGAAATACCCCACAATGATGTCATCCTGAATGTCTGCGTTGATTCTTATACAGACGACCTCTACGTTGTGACATCAGATGGTGTATACAAGACGTGTGTGATTGATCAGGTGATGAGTGGAGTTGATGTGAAGAAGAGAAGAGTAGCATCATTCCCTCTATCAACAATACGGGTGTTGATGCATGACAGGAGGAATTACCTTCTTAGGTCTCGAGTGATTATGACGTCATCAGGGAAGATGATTGCTTGCGATGGAGACAACATTCTCGTATTTAAAAAGCTATTTAGCCTCTAAACTAATCATTTAGAGATTTTAACATTTGAGTTTGACTCCTGTTTTAATGTAAAAATACTCTTAAGATTCCCAATAAAGTGAAGAAATCAGAATGTTGATTCGTAAACATATACATAGTCAGCAATAATTGTTTTTTCATGTTCCCCTTCTATACTTGTCTTTTCAAACTCTTCATTTTGTTAATATCTGTATCTTAATTATTGGTTGATATAACGAACGGGTTAAAGAAATGTTACTCAGTGAGGGAAGGACTTAAGAAGTATTCTAGGCTCAATACATAGGGAGAGACTAGTTCTCTGATAATGTTGAGAGGTTTATAGTCTAGGACTGGTTGAGGCCTGTATACCGATACAGGTGCATTTTAATACGCCTTTTTCGTAATGTAATCAAAATTAATAGAAATCTTTTTAAGTGCCTTGATCGTTACACATTATTTCATTCACCCGTTACTTGTTGTATTTCAATAGTCAGAAGGCGAAATAATGCAAACATTACGTGTTGTTAGGTAAGACAAACATTATGGATTGTAATACAATTATATATTTATAACAGGTGAATGATTACTTTGTAACGAGCACTTAAAAAGATGTGTGCATTAAATTTAATTACATTACGAAATAGTCTATTCTATTCTATTAATAGTCCCTAAATCCTGGCTCAATACGTTGAGGACGATCTCGATATAGGGAACAGTGAAGATAATTATTGAAATGGATATATAAAATGTGGAAGGTCATATTGTTAACAAATACCTGAGAATATGTAGGGATATTCGCGAAGTATCCATTTTACGTTTGCATTACAGGTTAAACATACCCGTATATATATAGTAGTGTCAGCGAACTGCGCGCGTCCCTCACTCTTTTAGTAAATCACGTGACAAAATTCTTACCAAAGTTTGAGGTCAAATTGGCAAAAGGCCCTGAATTTAGCATGAAAAATATACTGAAAATCAATGTATTGTGTCTTGCTGTACTCAATTTAATCTCATCATAATTTATCAAAATCCTAAATACTTTAATTTATGTTTAGTTGTAAAAAAAAATACGATTGGTTGGAGGAAATACCATTAATTTTGAGGAGATTCAATTGATCATAATTAGTTATTTTACAGGACCTTGGAATGATTATGGTAGGAATCTAATTTCTCACAAATCGATATGAATATTCATGCGGAGTTTTTGGTGGTATAATATCGGAAGTTTTGCGGTTAAACAGGCAGAAATTCCAGGAGTCAAATTTCTTGGAATATGATTTGCTAGACAGTGTGATCTCACCTATAATCAGCGTAAAAACTTGAATGATTACATACACATAAACTCACATGTTTGATGAAAGTATTTGTGAATAGACCACAAGTCACCGGTTCTTACTACTATACGTTATTGTCATAAAATGTAATATAATAAGAATATAGTAATCAACACATTAAGAATAGTGTACATGGTAGTTTTATCATGATAGATAGCATGTATGATGGTTTATTTCTGGTTGTTGTTACATTTTCGTGTACACACCTTGGCAACTGGTGTTTAGTTCCCATTTCAATGGTATTCATTCAATGTATTTTATGTCATGTTATCATCTTTTAAAGTTAAGCTATTTGAAATTGTATCTACGGAAACATTAATGAAATTGCGCGAAAATGTAACAAAAGATACGTAATAGAAGTTTTAACATTATATACATTTATTTGCATTTCGGAGCTTTGCATTCCCGATGTTGAGAGCAGATAGTCTTTTAAATAGGAGACGATGTGCTTCCTTGAAACTTGAGTTGTGAAAATGAAATCAATGTTTAATATTTTAATCGTTATTGAATTAATAGCGTGTTTTGCTTCGTTTTGTATATTCAATCATCTGCCACAAACTCATAATCATATACGTAAGTGTAAATACCTATGTAGGCTCATGGTTATGAATATCTGGTGTTAATTCCATTTTATTATTGCGTAATGGGTCTCGATCTATTCCGACACAAAGATTTTCAAAAATCAACGGAAGGCAATTTTCATTATATTTGTACATCCCTTTTTGAGAAGGGAGAACATCACCACGATGTACAACGAAATCCGGACATGATTGATATTGGATATACAATTGAAGTGCCCCTGAGTTGATTATAATAATTACCAACTACTCTGGCGATGGAAAAAAATCAAAGAGTGTTTAAAAGAGAAAGTCTGAAATAACCACCCTAATATCCGTTCCCCCCAAAAAAAAATTGTTATAGTACATCAAATGTTCAGTTCGAAATGTACAACTATCCTGCTGTATCTAGTCTAAAATGCCTGAAATGCTAATGTGTTATCATTGTACATATGAATTTCAATGCAGATACAAATACTGAAGTTTTCTAAGTTGGAGTAAAATCGCTTCGAGGAATAATTATGTTTTTATTTTCATTGTTGGATTATTTGGTCCGATATAGTGTTAAGAGTTATCAGAAATATTAGACAAATAGATTCCTTGTTGTAAAGTATGAGTATTATCTAGACTGTATGTTTGTTTATGTCAAGAGTGTTGATAGCGTGGACACGACAAAACTTTCATTTGTTATGCATGAAATATTTCCCTGTATTGTTAAATAGTTTTCATTATCTTTGAAGTGAAAGGTATTTGGTCATTTGCAATGTATCTGTAATCAAGTGTAATTGCTTACATTTGGGAAAGATTTCTCTTTATAGTTTTCCCTAATATGAATTCGTATGTTCTTCAACATTTCATAAAAATACAGTGTATTGAAATACGTATCAAAGATATTTCCAGGGTTAATATTCTGCAGATGTATCAATTGCTTTTAAAACTTGGAGTAAAATCATTTAGACGAATATGTTTTATTTACATTCTTGTTTGTTTGTTTGAGTGTTTTTCTTTTTTTACCTGACTACTCGGTAATTGATTTTCTTACTTGCTTGGTTAATATAAGCAGATTCATTGACAAAGATCAATTCCATGATATAAGAGACAGCCTGTAACAACCACCCGTTCCAAACGAAGATTTCGTTATGGTGTGTCACACGTTCAGTCTAAACTATTATTTGTTGTAGATTAAAACGCTGTCTCTAAAATCAATAACACATGAGGTAGTGAAATGCTTATGTGTTATCAATGTATTCATGAATTTCATTATAGATATATAAATAATTTATGTTGAAGTAAAATCGCTCGGAGGAATGATTATGTTTTATTTTCATTCTTGGTATATTTGGACCGATATACTGTTAAGAGTTATCAGAAATATAAGAAAAACAGATCCATTGTGGTATAGTGTGAATTCATCCTATACTGTTTGTTTGTTTGTTTCAAGATTTTGATACCCAGGAAAACGACATTACTTTCATTTTGTCATGCATAAAATATATATCCCTGTATTGTAAAATATCATCTTGAAGTGTAAGGAATTTGGTCTTTGAGAGCGTATCTGTAATCGAGTGGAATTACTCACATTTGGGAAAGATGTCTCATAACGCTTTCCCTAACATGAGTTCATATGTTCTTCAATATTTTATACGTATGCACAGTGTAGTTAAATACGTAATGTCATTGTATAAAATATATTTTAGTGTTATTATTCAATGTTTAAATTGCATTGTATATAAATGTGTGATATTATAAGATGGAGTAAAATCACGTAGACTAAAATGTATTATCTATATTCTTGGTTTGTTTGCTTGTTTGTTTGTTTTACCTGACTACTCGGTAATTATTGGCTATTACCTTAGTTGATTGGTTAACCTAGGCAGACTCATTGACCAAGATCCATTCCATGATTAAAGAGACAGCCTGAAACAACCACCTTTTCCAAATGAAGGTTTTGTTATGGTGTGTCGCATGTTCAGCTCAAACAATTATTTGTTGTTGAGTAAAATGTTGTCTCTAAAATAAAGACAAAATTATACAGCTTTAAATGTAACGTACTTACTGCTACATGAAATATATTAATACCCGTTTGATAGTTATAGCATAGCCTTTTCTTATGTTTGGATTTGTGTATATTAGTATTTGATTTCAATTGTTTGATCTGATAATATAGAAAATGAATAAAATAAAATGTATAAATGCATAATGAAGATAAAGTACATACACAACAGCATGTATGTGCTGCAATAAGCGTTATATAAATTTGACTATTATTATTATTTTTGTTATTATTATTATCATTAAGATTATTATTGTTATCATTACAATCATTATCATTATTATTATCATTATTATTATTGTTATTATTATTGATAATATAACTCAGCATTTCCTTTCGTTATATAATGATTTATATATTGTTGTTTAATCTGATATAATATTTCGCATACACGTATATACAAGATGTAAAACTGATGTCCTTTTATTTACATCACTGGTTGAGGGTGCAGTTATATTTTAGTTCGTCTTGTAGCAAAGTAATGATATATCTAACCAGATTTCATGGTAGTGTTTCCCTCTTGAGGCTGAAAATATAAAGTTAATTGTGTGAATTCTATGGTAAACAAGAGACAATACCAACTAAAAACTCCCCTGAAAAGATTAGAACTGGTAATTGCCTTTATGTGGAATTATACCGACCGTTTATAGCGGGAACTCGTTTCGAAAATTTTGCGGAGAACATTTTAGAAAGTGAATGGGTTTCCTTGCATAATTTGAATACTAGGACACTGCAAACGTTTTAATTTCACAGATAGGACATACCTGATATACCGGTATTCATAATTCCCGCACAATTCTACAAATTCGATGTTGGCTGCAAAAGGGATACACTACCTTAAACATCTAATGGAAGTACATGTAGAAAGACAGTACAACTTTGTAAGCAGAATATGAAACTGTATTTGTAGAATATCTTATCTTATCAGCTGGTAGAGTTTAATTTGGAAAACAAAGAATAGGAGTGATGGTGGTATAAATAATTAGTGCCTTAACGCATGACTTTCTTTTCTGCTTAAAAACTATCAACGTTGCTTGAATTTGTTTAAGACACAAGGATATAATTATAATTCATTGCTTGCTTAAATTTATTAATGTTCGGGAATTGTTCTTCTTTTGTATGCTTGCTTTCTAATGAAAAATGACCACATATTCATGTAACAGTTTTGTTCATGCGAAAGGTTTAGATGTGATTATTATTTTTTTATCAAAACAAAAAATTCTTGTTTTTGATTTGGACTGTTTCTCTAGTCCACGGTGTGTATCTCTCTCATTTGTCAGTTTTCTTTCTAAATAAAAATACCCATCACTCCACGAGCTGCTCCTGACCGACTCGTTATTTCGTGTCACAAAGTACCTTTAACATGTTATAACGTATACCTCTCTCTTATCATTTCTATTCTTACATGTTTTGATATACATGTACCAGTATGCCAGTAAGCTTTTCTAGAAATTGTTCTTCCTTTGTCTCCCTCCTGATCAGCTTTCCCTCTCTCTTTCTCTCACGCTCCCTTCCTTTTCTTTATTCCCCTCTCTTTATCTCTTTCTCTCTCTCTCTTCCTTCTCTTTCTTCCTTCTCC